GTTTTTGCTTATATGTGGGAAAGATAACGGTTAACTCTAGACTTGAGCAGGTTATGTAAAATCATAACCTGCTCAAGTCTAGAGTTAACCGTTATCTTTCCCACATATAAGACCGGGGAAACATCTTCTTGGGAATCGGTTCCATAAAGCAGCGGTTCCTGGGAAGAAGCTGCTCGAGTGGAATACAAAAGGAATGAGTTTGGTTCGCTACAATGGGCGTAGCACGGCGGGTCTTTGTCTTAGAACTGGTGGAACTATAGAATGCAGTTCGTCTGAACACTTTCCAAGGAAATAGCTACAGAGCGGCGAGAGTCTTTCGATGTTTTGTCTGTGGGGTTTTCGGATGGAAAATAATTTGTCACCCGCAAGAACGCGGTGGCGCTTTTGGACTCTATCGAGACTGTAAAGAGAAGCAGGGGCAGCTCCTGTCCATATATGGCAACAGTACTACAATTTGGAGGAGACATGGTGGAGTAATGGATAGCGGCTCGGATTGAGGAATCGGAGAGCCAAGTTCGAATTCCTGTCGAATCCTTTACTATCATTTACGTGCTAATATCCTTGGGAAAGGTATGAATCAATCCTCTTCCTCCCCCAGCTATGGGTAAATAGCAGAACAGAATGGGTTCTATAACCTTGGATGGCAACTGGTCTACTGCAGAAAGAAACGGCAAGCTACTGTGGGAAAAAAATCTGCCTAGTCGATCATGTATCGAAAGATACATGATAGCCTAAGCATGTATCACACATGGCACATAACTGAGTGACTGGGATGCTAATACCTTTGGGAAAGGTATGAATCCGCTTCTTCCCCTCTCCGCCCCCAGCTATGGGCAAATAACAGGACAGATCGGGTTCTATAGCCTTGGATGGCAACTAGTCTACTGCAGAAAGAAACGGCAGCTTACTGTGTGGGGGGGAAGTCTGCTTCGTCAGTCATGTATCGAAAGTTACATGATGACTAAGCGTGTATCACACATGGCACAAAACTGACTGACTGACGTACTAATACCCTTGGGAAGGGTATGAATCCTCTTCTCCCCTCACCCAGCTATGGGCAAATAACAGGACAGGCTGGTTTCTATAGCCTTGGATGGCAACTGGTCTACTGCAGAAAGAAACGGCAACCTATTGTAGGAAAAAAAAATCTGCCTCGTCAATCATATATCGAAAGATACATGATCGCCTAAGCGTGTATCACGCATGGCACATAACTGACTGACTACAATTTCGGCCTCATCTGCCTCTTGAGGACATAATGGAGGCAAAAGAAACAATGAAGAAAAAACATCTACCTTATTTACTGCGTTTTCATGAATAGATGGCTGAAAGATAGATAGTGATGGTAATGGGTCAAAAGTGACTTAAAGAAACAATCGTAGAGAGCTACTATCGTCGCCCACGTCTTGAAGAACGTCATATAAAAAATAAATTACAGTTTTATGGAGTTAGTCAAAATACAAGTAATGGTAGCTTACGACGTCTTGGCAAACATGGCCCTGCTAGATACGTCCACTTAACATTTAAGAGATGGTAAAAATCTGCCTCGTCAGTCATGTATCGAAAGATATATGATCGCCTAAGCGTGTATCACGCATGGCGCATAACTGAGGGCCAAAGTTGCCTTCCAAAAGCTAAGCAGTGTATTAAGAGACAGGAAAATTTTGTTAAACAACAAAGATAAGAGTATTGAACTGTTACGTAATATCAGTCCTCCTGCATGGCAGCAATGCTGGACAATTTCCTCAAAGATAAAAAAAGAGACTTGAAGCAACAGAAATGTGGTTCTACAGAAAGACGCCGAGGATACCATGGACCAAACATGTGAGCTACAACGATTTGGAGAGAATGGAAACAAAAAGGTAACTTATACTTAACATCAGGAAAAGGCAGTTGAAATTCCTAGTAATGAAAAGGGAGGGCTTGGAAAATCTGATACTCACAGGACAGATTGAGGGAACCGAGGAACAGAGGAAAGCAGCGCGTAAAATACTTGATGAGCTTCAGTAAATGGATGGTAGACAGGGTTTGGGAGAAATAACAAAAAGACAAAACTTATTAAGAGCTAAAACAGACAGGAAGATGTGGAAGGCCATTATCACCTACGTCGACGCGGTACATAAAAGAAGGTACCTTTAGTAATTAAAAGAAAAAGGAGACGTGTAATATAGGACATCGATATAGGGTACAAGGAAAGAGATTGCCCACAAGGCAACAATAGTTAGGAACACTTGGGAAAAATCAGAGTTAATAGCGTAGAATTTTTTTCAGGTTTGCTTGCTTGCTTGCTAAACAATTCCGGCAAGACAGGCGCCCTACTAGTTAAAGTCGTGTACAGCTGTCGCGTTCTGTATGGGGAACAGGTGGTCTGGTTGAATTAATGGACAAAAGGAAAAATAAAAATAAACAGAAATTAGTTCGCCAGGCAAGAAAACGTAAGGGCAATTGTTTTTCTTCTTGTCCATCAGTAAAAGATTTATGGATAAAGTCTCCAACGAATAAATACATGTCATTAGTGCATATGCCGAGGACGACGTAGATTGCTTGAATAATCAAACCATAGGCACTTTAAAATGGGGTACTTTTGAAGAGAGAGAGAGAAAAAGAGAGGGGGGGGAGATATGAGAGAGAAAAGACAAGAGCCGTGAAAAGATTATAAAGAAAAAATGAAGAGAAGAGTGAAAGTCAGGAGAAGAGAGGAAGAGAGATTTGGAAAGAGGAGAGTAAGGAGACAAAGCGAGAGAGAGCAAAGAGAAAGAAATATAGAAAAGAAGAGAGTAGCGAGAAGGAAAAAGGAAGAAGGAGAGAGAGAGAGAGAGAGAGAGAGTAGGGAAAGCAGAGAAAAGAGACAAGAGAAGTGAGAAGAGATAAAGAAAGAATGAAGATAGAGTTAAGATGAAAGTAAGGAGAAGAGAGAAAGAAAGGCATAGAAAGAAGAAGAGAGTAAGGAAAAGAAGGAAAGAGAGACATAGAAAGAAAAAGAGACTAGGGAAGAGAGAAGAGAGACAGAAAAAAAAGGAGAGTTAAGGAGAAGAGAAAAAGAGACAAGGAAACAGAGAGTAAGGAGAAGAGAAAAGAGACATAGAAAAAAAAAAGAGAGTAAGGAGAAGAGAGAAAGAGAGACATAGAAAGAAAAAGAGAGTAAGGAGAAGAGAGAAAAAGAGACATAAAAAGAAAAAGAGAGTAAGGAGAAGAGAGAAAGAGCGACATAGAAAGAAAAAGAGAGTAAGGAGACAGAGAGAAAAAGAGACATAAAAAGAAAAAGAGAGTAAGGAGAAGAGAGAAAGAGAGACATAGGAAGAAAAAGAGAGTAAGGGGAAGAGAGAAAGAGAGACATAGAAAGAAAAAGAGAGTAAGGAAAAGAGAGAAAGAGAGACATAGAAAGAAAAAGAGAGTAAGGAAAAGAGAGAAAGAGAGACATAGAAAGAAAAAGAGAGTAAGGAAAAGAGAGAAAGAGAGACATAGAAAGAAAAAGAGAGTAAGGAGAAGAGAGAAAGAGAGACATAGAAAGAAAAAGAGAGTAAAAGGTGACAGAGAAAGAGAGACATAGAAAGAAAAGAGACTAAGGGAAGAGAGAAAGAGAGACATAGGAAGAAAAAGAGAGTAAGGAGAAGAGAGAAGAGAGACATAGAAAGAAAAGTGAGTAAGGAGAAGAGAGAAAAGAGAGACATAGAAAAGAAAAAGAGAGTAAAGAGAAGAGAAAAGAGACAAGAAAGAAAAAGAGAGTAAGGAGAAGAGAGAAAGAGAGACATAGAAAGAAAAGAGAGTAAGGAGAAAAAGAGAGACATAGAAAGAAAAAGAGAGTAAGGAAAAAGAGAAAAGAGACATAAAAAAGATAAAAGAGAGTAAGGAGAAGAGAGAAAGTGAGACATAGAAAGAAAAAAAAGTAAGGAGAAGAGAGAAAGAGAGACATAGAAAGAAAAAAAAGAGTAAGGAGAAGAGAAAGAGACATAGAAAGAAAAGAGAGTAAGGAGACAGAGAGAAAGAGACATAGAAAGAAAAAGAGACTAAGGAGAGAGAAAAGAGACATAGAAAGAAAAAAGAGACTAAGGGAAGAGAGAAAGAGAGACATAGAAAGAAAAAAAGAGAGTTGGAGAAGAGAGAAAAGAGAGACATAGAAAAAAAAGAGAGAAGGAGAAGAGAGAAAGAGAGACATAGGTAAGAAAAGAGAGTAATGAGAAGAGAGAAAAAGAGAGACATAGAAAGAAAAAAAGTAAGGAGAAGAGAGAAAAGAGACATAGAAAGAAAAAGAGTATGGAGAAGAGAGAAAGAGAGACATAGAAAGAAAAAAAGAGACTAAGGGGGAAGAGAAAGAGAGACATAGAAAGAAAAAAGAGAAAGGAGAAGAGAAAGAGAGACAGAAAGAAAAGAGACTAAGGGAAGAGAAAGAGAGACATAGAAAGAAAAAAGAGAGTAAGGAGAAGAGAGAAAAGAGAGAAAAAGAAAAAGAGAGTAAGGAGAAGAGAGAAAGAGACATCGAAAGAAAAAAAAGAAGTAAAATAGAGAGAAGTGAGAGGAGAAAGAAAAGGAGAGTAAGGAGAAAGAGAAAGAGAATAGAAAGAAAAAGAGAGTAAGGAGAGAAAGAGAGACATAGAAAGAAAAGAGAGTAAGGAGAAGAGAGAAAGAGAGACATAGAAAAAAAGAGACTAAAAGAGAGAAAGAGAGACATAGAAAGAAAAAGAGAGTAAGGAGAAGAGAGAAAGAGAGACATAGAAAGAAAAAGAGAGTAAGGAGAAGAGAGAAAGAGAGACATAGAAAGAAAAAGAGAGTAAGGAGAAGAGAGAGACAAGAAAGAAAAAAAGACAGTAAGGAGAGAGAGAAAGACAGACATAGAAAGAAAAGAGAGTAAGGAGAAGAGAGAAAGAGACATAGAAATAAAAAAGAGGAAAGAGAAAGGGAGACAGTAAGAAAGAAAAGAGAGGAAGGAGAAGTGAAGAGACATAGAAAAAAAAAAGAGAGTAAGGAGAAGAGAGAAGAGAGACATAGAAAAAAAAAAGAGA